AAAATTATAAAAAGAGTAAATATGTAGAGAAATCCATCCCAATCTTTTCAAATTAATTGAAGGGATGAAAAACGAAAAAGTGGAGGGGATTTCATCTTCTTCTCTCATTAAAATAAATAATCCAAATAAAAGAAGAAGGCATCTCTCCCTCTCTCTTCTTCCTTTCCCCTTTAAGTTTCAACCCCTCTAATCCCAAAGAGGCTTAGCATTTATTTTCCCATGCCTCCAAATCACTGTTGTTCTTCATTATAGTTTGACGGTAAATGATTGCCTGTTGTGATCCTTTGGAACTTTGAAAGGGAATTTTCCATTTATCCAACACTTAAATGTACAATTGAGGCTCTCATGGACACTTTGGCTTTCCAAGTAGCTCAGTGGTTCGTTCTGTTTGTATCTACACAATTGTAACCCGGCACGTAGTGCCACAAGGCTTACAAATGCAATGAGCAAAGGGTCTGTTTCTACCAGGGCAATGTAATTTTCTTAAATTTATTAAGTTTGTGATGTAGATATACCTTAAAGATTACCCAAAACAAGAATGTATCAGTCTCGTTAGCTTAGGAATACTATAACGGTAAACAATTAAAAAAAAAAAAGAATCATGTGTTGAGTTTCTGACATACAGAAGAATAATAATCTCTCAATTCTTTTCAATTCGATGAAGTCTTGATTGAACAAAGAAATAAATAAATAACTTCTCAACTCAATTTCTTCAGACTGAGTCTTCTTGAAACTTCATTGGCGTGGCAGACCTGGCGGTGGTGTCAAGGTTTGGATTTATTCTGGCTTAGTATACTCCATGCTGTATCTATTATTTTATTATTTTATTGTTCATATAATTAAATAAGAGTCTTTATTTTATAATTTAAATTGTATTAAATTATAAAATAAAAATTATTAAATAACAAAAACCTTTTAATATTAGGAACTCATTTTTTTATCTAATTATTAGTGTGTAGTCTAATAACAAAATATTATTAGACTACACACTAATAGAATTCATTATTTCACTAACGAAAAATCATGTCAGAAACAAAGGGAATGACGTCGGTGAAACAACCTTTCCACTTGAATCATGTTGGAAATGCCTTTGTCAGCGAAAGTGGGCTCGGTATTTGGTTTACCGACGTGGATTAAAGTCACATCGGTAAACCTACAACCAATTACCGATAAGAAATTCCTCTCCAATATTAAGTTGGAATAGTAATACATGAGCCTTTTCTGGTATTCCACGTTGGTAAATTACCGACTAGAATCACGTTTATAACTAATAAAACAGGTGAGCCACCTCACTGATTCACAAGGATGATGCTATCTGCATCTCACTATTACCGACATGAACAAAATCGGAAGTTTGTTTGGCTCTTTTCCTCTCTCCAAATCACCGATGAACGTAA